GCTTCCGCTTTGCCCGATCTACAGCTGATGTGCTTACGGCCATCACTAAAACTGTCTACCAAGCTCTTTAAAATAACGGGGAAGCTCGTGCCGTTTGATAGGGTTTGGCATGCCGGCCTTCTTCGCAAGCCCCAGGGTTATGGTATTACGGGTCGATTGTTTGTCCTAATACAATCATTCCTGTCAAACCGTGAATTGAATGTCGTTCTCAATGTATTCTCCTCCAGTTCCTATCCCACGAACGCAGGTGTTCCTCAAGGCTCCATCCTAGTCCGCACTCTATTCCTTATCTACATAAATGACCTTCCTGACACCATAAATTTCCAAGTTGGCATCTACGCGGATGACGCCACAATTTACTCCTGCCTCAATAAAAAAAATCTAGTGTCGCTGAGAAAACTAACCTGGCCGTGCGTCTCGAAAAGGACCTCCAATCGGTTGTGAACTGGGGCATGAATTGGCTGGTCAACTTTAATACCTCAAAAACAAAACTGCACTCTATTAATCACCACAGATCTCCTTCTCTGCCCTACATTAGAATGTCTGACGCTCAACATCTCGAGAGCACCTCTCTGCAGCGGCTCGGCCACACGTTGACTGCTGACCTGAGATGGAACAAATACATTGAGTCAATTGCTTCGTCTACCGCAAGGAAAGTTGGCTCCCTGTGACGCGCCAGAAAATTTTTCTCCCCGGAATCGATCCTTCAGATCTACAAATCAACAATTCGCCCTTGCATGGAGTATTGCTGCCATATATGGTCTGGAGCCCCTTCTGAGCCTCGAGGTTCTTGATAAGATCCAGAGGCGGATATGTAATATAATTGGCCCTGATCTGGCATCTCGTCTACAGTCGCTCTCTCACAGACGCGCCGTCGCCTCTCTCTGTCTTTTTTACAAATACTTTCATGGTAATTGCTCATGAATTCAAGCGCCCTACGAGGCTGGCATCCCGCTCTCACCCTTTCACTGTGGAAACTATTAAATGTAGCCGTCTCTTCTACTCCAATAGCTTCATATCTCGCACCTCTCGCCTGTGGAACTCCCTCCCCTATTCCATTTTCCCTGATAGCCATAATCTCCAGCTATTCAAATGTAATGTCAATCGACATCTCCAGTTGCTTTGATCCATCCATCCACTATCCTTCTCCTCATCCTTTCTTCTATCACACCTATCTGATCTTGCTCCAAATCTGTAACCCCTTGCCTCCTAGTGGCTTCCCGCCTTCCTTGGGGCAGAAACGCTTAATATATATATATATATATATATATATATATATATATATATATTTTTTTTTCATATATATTATTTATATTACACATACTCTGTACTTATTGGAATGCGCTCAATATCAGTGACAGAGCTAACATATTTGTCTGACGATCGCAAATTGCGTGAAATTCACATCAATCCAACCATATATATATATATATATATATATATATATATATATATATATATATATATATATATATAAAAGTGTGTATTCATGAGAAAAACAGTACTCAATAATTTTTTTTGTTTTTTTTTTTTTTAATGACGATTTTATTCCTTGAAGACATGAAGAAATATATTTCAAACTTCTAAAGGACAAAAAATGACGACATATCTTGCGAGAAATTCAAATTCACTGAAGATTATGTGAAAAATAACATATGTTTTAATGATATTAACAAGAAATAAAAAATAAATCTTCACTTCTTGCACGGAGTGACCACTTCGAAACAGTAGTATTTTTTGGGCATATGACTAACTTCAATCTAATTACGAAAAAAAAAACATCTACGAGAAAATACCCCCCGCATCTAATCAGAATACGTGTGAATAACAACTGCAAGAAAAAAAGAAGAAGAAGAAGAAAAAGAAAAGACAGACAGACGTTAACTTTTCGTGTTCTTTTCATTCTAACCGATTTATGATTGAATTCGTGATGGACAACGCGAATTTGTCAATGAGATTCTCTGATTAAAAGATGTAAATAATGACCGCAATGACCCAGACACAGTTAACATCTTCAGTGTCAAACCTCCCAGCAGTAAACTTTGTTCAAAGGCTAGAGACAGTGACAACAGGTTCACATAAAGCCAAAACAGATAGCATCAAAAAACGTTTCGTTGATGAGGACATTTGTATCGAGAGCGACAACGAAATCAGATGACTAGAATACGATATATATATATATATATATATATATATATATATATATATATATATATATATATATAAGTGAACATTGAAGTGTGTTTCATGCTAGACGTAATCGTCAGACCTGGCGATTGAGTCTAGCAGGAAACAGACTGTCGCCTCTAAGTGTTGATTTCAATGTTCACTTTTATATTTACACATGCACTATCTCTGATATTGAGCACTTTATCCCATAATATAGTTCTTCATAAATATATATATATATATATATATATATATATATATATATATATATATATATATATACATATATATATATATATATATATATATATATATATATATATATATATATATATATCGGATTGAGGAATTAGAGAGAGCCGAGTTCGAATTTCACTCGAATGCATTACATTCACTTACGTGCTAATACCCTTAGAAAAGATATGAGTCCTCCCCTTCTCCCCTCAGCTATGGGCAAATAGCAGAACAGACCGAGTTCTATAGCCTTGGATGGCAACTGGTCTACCTCAGAAAGAAATGGCAACCTAATACGGGAATAATCGGCCTCGTCAGTCATGTATTAAAAGTTATGTTTGCCTAAGCGTGTATCACGCATGTCACATAACTGACTGATATATATATATATATATATATATATATATATATATATATATATATATATATATATATATATATATATAACGCTTTTATTTTCTATAATTATGGAAAATAAAGAATAATATATTTTTTAAAAACCACATTGCAACCAAAAACGTTTGCGGCTTCTCTCTTCCTTTTTAATATACACATTTTCTCTCGTTGGACCCTCTATAACTTCTCCCTTATATATATATATATATATATATATGTGTGTGTGTGTGTAAAACCTTGTCTTTTAGTAGCAGAGCTTTATACACTACTTTTTAGGGATTGGATTATAGGTTCTTTCTCTTAATGCCTTTTCATTTCCTTTCATCCGCAGTAACCGCATGCATCTTTATGGCCTGATCGACTTGCTCCAGATGAAATGTTTTGATAAATCCCGAACACACACACACACACACACACACACGCGCGCGCGCCCGCGCTCACATATCTATATGAATTTATAATGCTAGGTTTCACCCTATTTGTGATCGTCAGACGAACTGATTAATTTTTAAAATTTTTTGGCGTGAAGCACAAGGAGAATAAGGCCAGTCCGCTCAAAGCCTCGGTCACAATGACTTGTGACTTCGTGTCAGTACAAACATAAACAGTCCTGTCTACCCAAATTCTCTCACAATCCTCGGCCTAATTTACAAAGAAGCAATAACATCAAGGAGTCAACATCCTGGTCGACAAGGGTGAGATTCGAACCTGGCCTCTCATGATTGGAAAGCGAAAATAAGTACTACTCAGCTGTGGACATATTGATTTCTCTTTCTTTCCCTCCCTCACTCTCTCTCCCTCACTCACTCACTCACTCTCCCCCCTCTCTCTCTCTCTCGTTCTCTCTCTCTCTCTCTCTGACACTCTTTCTCTTACGGCCGCACTACTTTGAAACTCTGGTTCCAGTACCAAAGTTAAGCAACTGCGAACCTGGTTAGTACCTAGATGGGTGACCGCTTGGAAATACCAGATTTTGTAAGCTTGCATGTTCGGGTGGTGTGATGGATAATGTCCCAGATTTGTTAATCGGAGAGCCAACTTCCAAACATAGGTGGATTCGTTATATTCACTTACGCAAAAATATCCTTAGAAATGTTGACTCCAACACTTCTCCCTCATCTAAGGGTTAATTAGTAAACGTGTATAACTGAATCGTTATTATTTAAAAAAAAAAAATCAAATATATTTCTGGCTTTAGATAACATGAGAATGGTTGGTAAGCCGCAGAAAACTAATCACCCAACCTGTCTGTTTCTATGGTTTTCTATCTCTCTCTCTCTTATTTTATATATATATATATATATATATATATATATATATATATATATATATATATATAAATAAAAAAGAAGAGAGAGACCGCAAACGTTTTACGTTATAATGTGGATTTATTTTAATGATTTTTGAACCAGTCCAAGAAAAAGTTTTGGGTTACTACTAAAGAAAAAAAAAGTCAACGTTTAAACATCGAAGACACACGAAAAATTCATTCCTTTTAATAATATGTGGAAATGCCCACACTTTACCTGAAGGTCGCCAGACACGAAACACGTGTAGCAACAAAAATGAAAAGTAAAGTATAATATATATTTTTTAAAAAATCCACATTATAACCAAAAGATTTGCGGTTTCTCTCTTCTTAAAATATACACTTTTCTCTCGTTGGAACAATTATAACAATTATAATATATATATATATATATATATATATATATATATATATATATATATATATATAATATTAGGTAGAGCGAGTCGTAAGAAATATATAAAATATATATAAAATGTTAGAAAGAAATGAAATGCTTTCTTTGGTAACAGGTAATTGGATTCTGGACTAACCTTACTCGTCTAAATTATGACCAAAAACTTTTTGCGGTTTCTGTCTTCTTAAAATATGCACTTTTCTCTCGTTGGAACAATTATAACCTCTTCCTGATATATATATATATATATATATATATATATATATATATATATATATATATATATATATATATATATATATATATTTGTGTGTGTATGTGTGTGTCTTAGAGAGAGAGTAAGAAATATATAAAATGTTACAAAGAAAGAGCGAATGAAATGTTTTCTTTGGTAACAGGTAATTGGATTCTGGACTAACTTTACTAGTCCAGGATTGTGTACTGATAAAGAATCTAAGTAAAATAAAATAGAAAAACATCAGAGCCCCGAAAAACCACTGTGAAATTTACCGATGTGCGTGCGGGATTTCATTATAAGCAGGTCCGAGTCATTTGTGTTTCGCCATCTCATTTCGTCTTGTAAAGGGAGATTTTCGTTTCCTTTCCCCACAGCCGCACACCACGATTTTTGTACGCTAATCCGCTTTTCGAACAGGGACGGGAGATATGCATTAAACGAAGACTTATTCAGTTCGCTTGTTGAAGAAAAGTACCGATTCCACTCGTATCAGACGCATCTCTTTGTTGTGGCGTTTAACTTGCTTTTTCTTTGACTATTTTTCTGTCTTGATCACTAAGTCGACCGTCCCCGACTCTGAAAGATATTCAACCGAAAAGCGTTATTCTCATCCAGAAATATCAATCCTGTCTTGTGTCTACCACCTGCATTTTTCACTATTTCGACTTGTTCGTCTTCTCTCGCCATTTTCTTAACTTTCTTATCCTCTTAACTTTTTGTTATCTTTTATTTCCTTTTCTATATTCAATTTTTATTTTATTTTCCACATTATTCTCTTGGTTTTCGACTTCGTTCTCGATTTTCTCTTGTCCATTTTCTTCTTTCTTTTTGTATTACTACTACTACTACTAATACAACTCCTACTACTACCGCCAGTACAAATACTACTACTACTACGACGTCCACTTCTCTTCTTGTACACTTTAAATTCATTATTTATTTCCTTTGTTCATGTATAATTTTGGTATTCATTTTAAGCATTGTTTCTTTTTCTTCGGCCATTCTTCTAATATTTCCTTCAGTATCTCTTTCCTATGTTTGCTCTGAGCTTCATTATGTTGTTGTTATTCGTCTTCTTCTTTTCCTACTTCTTTTTATACTACTATTACTAATACTAATACTACCTCCTTTTTCTACACTCGCGATCCATTACCGTAATTACCCATGTACAATACGACTTCATCCATAATACACACTCCTAAAATTCTGCTGAATGTATCGGAAAATGCGTCTACTTACGCATACCAATGTAACGTTTGTTTGGTAATCAAACCCTATAGATATTACTTCTCCAATTTCATTACGGCCAGCGTTACATACTCTTATTAAAAACTGTTTTTAAACATAGAATAATATTTTTCTAATTTAGTGTTATGATAATTCTTATTTTATTTTACATTTGTAAGTATTATATTTTGACATCCTTATGGGGTCACAATGGCCGAATGTTTGTGTCAAATTATCGTATGTTTGTTGTGAGTAGTCATTTGGCAATTGAAATTGACCTATGAAACGGCAATTTTTTAAAGTATTTTTTTTGTGTGGTTATGCATAATGTGCACTACTAATTTTGGTTATTATTTTTTTAGAAAAAATGCATATTGTACATGAGGAATTACGGTATTCATAAACTTAATAACTTACGTTTGGTTTTATATATCACCATGTGCATTTTTCTCACACTTTTCCTCCTTATTTTCTTCTTCTTCTTCTTCTTCTTCTTCTTCTTCTTCTTCTTCTTCTTCTTCTTTTTCTTTTTCTTCGTCATCTTCTTCTTCTCCTCTTCCTTTTTCTTCTCTATTTTGTCTTCCTTCTTTTTCGTTGTCTCCTTTTTCTCCTACTCCTTCTTTCTTTCTCCTTGAACTCTTTCTTCTCCGTCGTCTTCATCTTCATCTTTGTCGTCTTCGTCTTCCTTTTCTCCTCATTCTTCTTCTTCTTGTTCTTTTCCTTCTTGTTCTTGTTCTTGTTCTTCGTGTTGTTGTTGTTGTTGTTCTTCTTCTTCTTCTTCTTCTTCTTCTTCTTCTTCTTCGTCGTCGTCGCCGTCTTCTCCTTCTCGCTTCTTATTTTTCTTCTTATATTTCTTATTTTTCTTCTCCTTCTCTTGTAATTTATTCTTCTCCTTCTAATTTTTCTTCTCCTTCTTCGATTTCTTATTTTTTCTCCTTATCTTCTAATTTCTTCATCATCATCATCATCATCATCTTCTTCTTCTTCTTCTTCTACTACTACTGCTACTTCTTTTTCTTTTTCTTCGTCTTCTTCTCCTCTTCCTTCTTCTTTTTCTTCTCCATTTCGTCTTCCTTCTTTTTCGTTGTCTCCTTCTTCTTCAACTCCCCCTTCTTCTTCTTCTTCTTCTTCTTCGTCGTCGTCGTCATTTTCTCCTACTCATAATTCTTTCTCCTTGAACTCTTTCTTCTTACTCATCGTCTTCATCTTCATCGTTGTCGTCTTCGTCTTCCTTTTCTCCTCTTTCTTGTTCTTCTTCTTGTTCTTTTTCTTCTTCTTCTTCTTCTTCTTCAATATTTTATATCTATACGTATTCTTCTACATGTTTTAGTTTGGACTTTCAACCTTTCACGTCATTTTCCACGAATATTTTTTCTTCATCTTCTATCATTTCCGATTGCTGCTCATTTTCTTTTTATTCTATGTTATTATTATTATTATTATTATTATCGTATTATTTATCTCTCATATTCCCCCGACATTATTCTTTTTCTCCAACTGCGTTCCTCATTTCTCTTCTTTCTTTAATTTGTATTCCCATTTCTTCTTGGAATCTGACATCTTCCTCCTCATCATATTAATCAAGGTTTCCTTCTTTTTTATTTTTCTTCTTCTTCTTCTTTTTCTTCTTCTTCTTCTTCTTCTTCAGTTGATATCAAGTAAATCTTAATGTTTTTTTAAAGTCTCTGTAAGTCTTCTAACAATTGTTCTGTTTTTTTGTGATATTTCCTCTCCTCCAACATCTCCCCAAAAATTTAACCGTAATCTTTTTTTTTTTTTTATGTGCCGTGTTCCTTCAGGTCTTAGACGATCATGGCTCTCCACTTCTCCCTATCCATTTTAGCTCTCAATAAATTTCGTCTCTCTGCCACCTCCCTCATAACTATTATCCTTTTTCGTAATCCTGCCAAGTATTTTATGTGTTGATTTCAGTTGTCTCTTTTTCTTTCTATTCGACCTGTGAGTTTCATATACATATATATATATATATATACATATATATATATATATATATATATATATATATATATGAAGAAATATAGTCTTAAGGTGTGCTATATTTATGGGATAAAAGTGCTCAATATCAGAGATAGAGCGTGTGTAAATATAAAAGTGAACATAGAAGCAATCGTAGACCTGACAATCTGTTTCATAGCATGAAACAGACTGACGTCACACCTCTAAGTGTTGACTTCTATGTTCACTTTATATATATATATATATATATATATATATATATATATATATATTCAAATTGTATTGCTAGTAATAATTCTATTTCTTCAAAAATTATAGCTGGTGATAATTTTTTACAAAATATTTCTGGTATTAAAACCTATTTTTTACATTTTCCTAGCGTTTTCACCCAAGTTTGGGAGTTAACTATTTGCCTATACCTGGGTCACTAACGGGTGCTAAGAGGTTGTTCCACGATCCTCAAAACCGTCTGATAAGAGCCCTTGCTGTTGGACGTAGTTTATCGTCTTACCCAGGATGCCGATGTAGTTTATCGTCATACCCAGGACGGCAAAGGTATTCGTCCTTCTGAATTGGTATTACTCTTTAGATGTCAGTTCTCTGTTGAATGCGGGACGCCTTTCGCCTGTCGGGTATGGTTTGCCGTAGTATTTGTTGTTTCTGTTCTGCATTCATTTCGTTCGGTTAACTAATGTTTCTGACACATTTTGTGATTGTTTATTACTAACTCTGTTTTGTTTCTTTTAAATAAAACTTCTTTTCCATTGTAAATATTCATTGCTGTTTAAAAAAAAAATTGTTATTGCATTTAACCCTATTCCAAAAACAAATATTGTACATATGTGTTATGGTCCAGGTTAGGGCCAAGGAAGAACAACACGAACACAAGAGTAGAAATAACGAAGGTATATTACACGAAATAATAATACAAGATGTGGAAGGTGTTAGTATGACTGTCAGTCTGGTTTGGAGTGAACTACTATCGGCTCGACTCGACTCGATATCTAGCCACCCGCCACGAGCGTTGCATGTGGCACAAGGCCGAGTTTAACGTGGGTTTTCCGGAGCGCGTAGGCTCGGCCAAAAAATGCCCGTAGAACCCGTATAAACGCGATCGGGTTGGTCAACCTCTCCGAACGAGACTCTGCCCTTCGGCGGAGCCTCGTCCGGGTTCTTCTCTGCTCAGAGGCAGAGAGTTCGACCGTCAAGCCGACCGACTAGATTCGATCCTCTCTCTTGAGAGGCGTAGTATACATAATGTTAGGAAGAGTTCATTCTGTAGTTATAGGTAAGGGCCCATGACAATATGAAACTAGTTAGGACTACAGAGAGCCTCTGAGGTATTATGGTGCATGTAGTAAGAATGGTAAATAAGAATGTAGCATTTTGGTGCATGGGTTATTATAGGATATCTGGGTCAGTGATTGTGGCTAGATAAGTTTTAGTATAAGAAGACCAGCCTTCCCCATTCCCCATTGTTGGCCTTGTGCCTTATTTGTACTATATGTACAATAAATATGGTATTGTTCTTTCTTATATCATCCTGACAATATATATATAGATATTTACTATTGCGGATTTTAATTCACCAGAACAAAACAGGTACAAGTTATCTGCATTAATCAGTAAAATTCAGAAGCCCTAAGAGCCATACTTGTTGTAGCATTAATTTATTATTATTATTATTATTATTATTAAGGCGATTCCGTTTTCTCTCCAGACGTTAGCAGGTCGTCTAGATAAGCCTTCAGATCATCCACATCTAGATTTTTCTTTCATATATTTCCAATACCTTCTTTTCCAACATCATCTTCTATCGCTTTTCCTTTTTTTTTTATTCCCCTCTTTCTTTTCATCATCTACTTGCCCCCACTTCTTTCTCATTCTGTCTCCTTCCTTTCTTTTATTTTTCTTATTCTTTTTCTTTCTTATTTTCCTTTCTACGTTTCTTTTATTCCTTCCCGTTGCCTTCTTACATATTCTTTTAATTTTCTCATACCGTCAAGACTATCAGTATTTCTTCGACCTCCAGCTTTTTTCTTTCTTTCTTTCTTTCGCTCTTTCTTTCTTTCTTTCTTTCTTTCTTTCTTTCGTTCGGTTTTTCTTTCTTTCTTTCGCTCTTTCTTTCT